TCTACATCCTACAGGTGCAGAACCACTATGCATCAGTGACCATAGCACAGTTAAATTGAGCAGCCCTACAGGAACTATGAAAATCAAGGAATCTACTACTGTTGTGCTTAACTTCAAAAAGTGTAACGACATAAAAAGCAGAAAGCTTGTTAAAAGGAAGCTCTAACAGACAGCTACGAGAAATAAAATCTCACTGGCAGCATCAAAGCTGCTTAACAACAACCACATGGAAAGCACAGAACCAATATTCACCGCCTATTCAGAAAGACTTGAGAAGAGCAAAAGGACATCAGCATGGCTCATCGCAGATTTCTAGAAGCAAAAAGGCACCCTTCAATAAGCCAACACCAAGTGCAAATGAGGAGAACAGAAAAGACTAAACTCTGGCACTTCAAATGTAATAAGGCAGCCCAGAAAGAACTGGAGGAACAGCTAGGAAAGGGAATCAAATGAGTAATGAATTATTTCTTTAAACACATCAGGAGCAGATCTGCCAGAGAGTCTGAAGTTCCAAGTGATGATCAAGGTATAAAAGGAGATTCAGAGAAAACAGGGTCATCCCAGAGAAGCTTAGAAAATTGTTTGCACTAGTGTGCACTGTGGAAAAATCTTGGGAGGTTCCCATGCTGCAGTCCTCCTTTGTGAGGGACTTGATGAATGCACCTGAATCTATTGGGACTACACATGGAACAAACTGACCAAATTTGTCTAAACAAATTAAAGAATTGAACAGCTGTATTACTAATGATGGTATACAGGCTCTAACCTGGAGCCAACTGGGTAGGTGAGAATTGGAGTATGGCTTTTAAAAAAAGAAGGCGGCAGTCATTTGGGTAATTTGAGACTATAAAGGACTGGTGACTGTTCTGGATAAATCAGGACAGGTGAGAATGAAGATCAGAATTAGGAAACACCAACACAGCTTTTTCAAAGAAAAATCCCTCGCTACAGTTTTCTTGGACTTAGTAGGAAAGGTCAAACACAAAGGCTCAGACAAGCACGGGAAGAATTATCAAGGTACGGAACAGTTTCCATATGAAGAAACTATAACCCTTTGAGTATGGAAAAGCCACCAGGAAGTAGAATGTGCTAAAAGCTACAAAACCATCTACAAAAGCATTAAATGATAGAAGTTGGTAGAATCGAACTTCAAAACATGAGAGAGAGGTTCTCTAGTCAATAGAGGCAGGAGATACTTGAAATTCCTTGCCAAATGATGTTTTGAAAGCTGAAAGTTTATGTGGGCTCATGGGAAGACTGGACAAGTTCACAAATGATACATCCTCTGAGGGTTACCAAACATACAGAGCTACATCTGGCTCAGAAAGTACCTGAACTGAAAATAATTGGAGGCTTGGAGAGTACTGGGGGGAAGTATCACATGCCTGCTTTGTTCTGACTCTTCTCTAGGCATCCAATTAAAGCCCCACTGGAGGCATGATATGGGGGCTATATGATCCTTGATTTGACCTGCTGTAGTCATGCCTGTGTTCTGACCGCCTCTTTGCAATATGTATTTGTGTCCTGTGAGGTACTTAGGAACCAATGTAAGCAACCTGAAGAGGCAGCAACACCTTGATTACCAGAAGCTGGGAGGCTGCTCCATTTTCTTAAATGTTTTCCCTAGCAGTCTGCTTCCAGACACTGGTGTAAAAAAAGGGTACTGGGCTCTTCTTCTGAACTTACGTTAGTTATCTTGGAATTTTCCTCCATATTCTCCCAACAAAAAAAAAATCAGCATCTAAAAACCACTCCGAAACACAACAATAATCCTAATGCTACATGTAGCTTCAGATGCTACACTCTTCAGCGTAGAGACCCATCACCACCGCCCTAGAAGAACACTCAGTATAATTTCTGTGGGTATTTAAATAAATAACAAACAACAACATGCAAATTAATCCTGCTTTAGTGATGGGGATCACAAGATACCGCTTATGGACAAATGTTTATTAAACAGCATATAAAAAAGCTTAATTAAAACCTCCCCAGAACAAAACAAATCTGAAGCCAATTACTTACAACGCTTGAAGTGAATGACCCAAGCATCCTCTTTCTTCTTAGGGTAAATCCTCCCCTCCCTTTCTCCCTTATACCCACATTCTTTGTGGCCGGCCACACAACACAGGAGATGAGAATTTGGGCAACTTCAGCATGCCTGTGGTAATGCACACATTCTTGGGACAGTCCAAGAGAAAAATAGACCTGAATTTGAGTATATTTCTAGGCAAGCACAGAAATGGTAATAATTACTTTGCCTCCTACCTGACTTGCACAGTACAAATAGCATTATTTTGGGAGAAGTATGACTGGCCATCAGTGATTAAACCACTCTGAAAGCTAACAAAGAAAGGATGAGAATAAAAGAGGAACAAAATTGGCAGCCAGAATGAAGAGGTGGGAGAAATCCAATTAAACCTATAACTTAGCCCATTATCTTTAATTCTTGTTTAAACAAGGGGTCTTGTGGCAGACATTCTTTGTCCAGGTAATACCTTGATAGTAATGGAAATTTTAAGCAATTTTTGTGTGCATAATCCATAACTGATGTCAAAGGAGAAGGATCATTAGGCAGCATTACAGTCATTATAATAATTTTTAAAATTAAAATGTAACAGAATTAGTGTGTTAGCACAGGTACACTAACAACACCAGCGATATGCAGCTACTGCACTTCTAAACCATTCTAATGGCTCTATCTGGTCAATAAGGGAAGAAACTTTACAAGTCTCCCACCACAAAAAGCTCTGCCAAGTCACTCCCAGACCCACCTAAACATGTCAGTTACCATGACATGCTCACCACATGGAAAGAGTCCTGACAACATCAGCCATTGCCTCTCCCTGCGATCTATTTGGCGCCCAAAAGGTAAGGCAGACCCTGGATAATGTTGGTAGTGAGCAACAGCACAGTTCAGAAATCCTGGACCACAGGGTCATGACATAAAAGCCTAGGAGAAGAAGGGTGTGTCTGGCCTAATTAGCATTGAGC